CCCCAAAACCCCAAAACCCCAAAACCCCATAACTTCCCAACATTATTGACAGAATTAATAAAAAGACTACAATTTCTCCAAATGTCTGACAAAATATCTCCTTGAGTTCTCTATACACTCATGCTCTCAATATTAGTCTTTGGCTCTGCCAACACTGTGTTTCTGAAGATGATGAACCTTTCTTACTTCACAGACAAAGATGGAGTCAGGAAGCAGTTTTACCATGCTTTCTTCCAGACATTCATCATGTTCATTGGAGCCTTCCTTTGTATAGGAGTGTATGGGATTATATATTTCAGGGATATCAGGAAATATGGAGATTATGAGAATTTACCTCAGGTTGATGAAGCTAAGAGGAAGGGCAAAAAGACCAGAATATATTTATATCCTATTCATTCCCCCCTCCTTTGATATCATTTCATCAACTTTGTTGATACTACCTCTGACAATGATTGCTGCTAGTATTTATGAGATGATGAGAGGCATTATTGTATTCATTGGAGCTATTTTCAGCATGATCTTTTTGAAGAGAAGATAATATATCCACCATTGGACTTCACTGATCTTTGTAGTTGGAGGAGTAGCCATTGTCGGCGCAAGTCCTCTTATATTCAAAGATGATGAAAAGGAGCAGGAAAATACAAATACTGTTCTTGGAATTGCATTGATAATTATAGCACAATTTTTCACACCAGCTTTTATGGTTGTTGAAGAAAAGCTTCTTGCAGACTACATGCTACATCCTCTTAAAATCGTAGGTCTCGAAGGGCTTTGGGGACTGGCCATTTACATCATGTTGCTCATAATCTTTCAGTTTATTGAATGTGGGAATAAAGATATATGACCAAATGGTAGACTCTAAGATACTCCTCTGGCTTTGCATGCAATGGGAAATAATCCAATGATTATCTGATATGCAGTAGGTTCTATTCTATCAGTAGCATTCTATATGAGTCTTGGAGTTACTATCACTAAATATGCAAGCGCAACTCAGAGAGTAACTATAGATGTAAGTAGAACTCTTGTCATATGGGGAGTGTTCTTAGCCAAGCCAGGAGATGGTCACGAAAGATTCATCTGGCTTCAACTAGTTGGCCTGGTAATTCTAGTATTTGGAACTCTATTTTTCAACGAAATTCTTGTCCTTCCATTCCTAGGCTTCAACAAAAACACCAAGGCTGCTATCGAAGAAAGACACAAACTCTTACACCCCACAGTTGAAGCCTCCGAACACAGCTCCATAATCTTCAGTACTTTTTCCAAAGGTAAGATCAATATCACTGAAGATACACACCCCTTACTTGATGTCACGCAAGATAATTTCTAAAATTTTCAACCAACATCCAATCATCTGGGGTTTTGGGGTTTTGGGGTTTTGGGGTTTTGGGG